TTATGTTAACTGGTACATGCATTCGATATTTTGTAAACATACGGTATAAAAATGTTTTAATATTAACTGATTGGTACACTTACAACAAGGTTCTATTTTAATTTTTTACCAAAATAGAGGTTTTAATGCAATATGGTTTATCTGATTTATCTTTTTAGTAATATTAGAAATATCTGTATAATAGTTGAAATAGCACTATGATAAAGTTCTATATATCACGATTTTAATAATACGAAGTTCTATCTACAATCAAAATGTAACAGGGATCTATCCAAGGATGATAAACTAAAGAGAAGGATGGGCCACTTCCATAAGAAGCCATATTAACTTATTTTATGACGTCACGAAATACTTCTGTCACTTGTCAGTGTTGTCAAAACATCGATTATACAGAGTTGTTTATGGTGTTAAATGTTGTTTTTTCGTGCTTTTCTGCTGTTGTTTTAAGTAAAACTATATTTTTTTGTAGCTATTTTATTGTTATTTGAACTGGTTGAATTTTCCATTTAGTTATTTTGTGTTTGAGTATATATTTTGTTTTGGATAACTATTTTTAGAGGAAGGTAAGAAAGTTGTCCACCATTATAAATATTAAAAATTCTTAACATAAATTTTATTATAGGCTTTTTCACCTACCCAATATGCTGGGTGCATATTGTGTAGTTTTTGGCTGCAATGCAGAGTACTCTGCTTATAAAAAGGCAGGAATTGGTGTGTCATTTCACAAATTTCCCAGGCCAATAGATTTTGTTTCCCAGACGATTTTTAAGTAAATGGATTAGACGATGCGGGACTAGAAATATTGATCCTTTAAAAAATCATATTTGTTCTAATCACTTTTCGCCCACTGATTATGAAAGAGATTTGCAAAATGAATATTTAGGTATGTACCTACGTTTTTCAAACAATTTTCTTAACTATAAGAATGCTACTTATTTTTGTAGGATTGCCACCTAAGAAGAAGTTAAAAAAGACATCAGTTCCCAATAAAAATCTTCCAAATGTGGTTTTGGCTGTAACAGAAGTGAATGACGAAAACCAACTGGTATCTCCAGAAGTACCTTTTGGAAGTGGTTCAGAAAATGCTGACTACAAAATAAAATATTTGGAACTGCTTTCAGAATTTAATAAAATAAATCAGAGGATCCTTTCTTATGAAAATGAAAGCAGAATTCAGAAAGTTACTTTTCAAAATAAAGTTAAAAGGCTACAAAACCAAGTCAAGTATTATAGAAACCGGATGCAAGGCAAAACACATGTTGAAAAAGGACGTTCAAAAATGGCTAGCAATTTATTGAAAACGATTTTTACAAAAAATCAGGTAGATAATCTCAAAAACATTGTTATATTGTACAGTTTTTATTGTTATTTTTTCTATTTCAGTTAAATTTGTTGTTAAAAAAGAAAAAACAAGTTAGATGGACTTCAGAAGAAATGAGTATAGCATTTACGTTGCGATATTATAGTAAAAAAAAGCTATTTATATTTGAAAAATAAACTCCATTACCCATTACCATCGTTGTCATCCATGAAAAGATGGGTTTCCAAATTAAGTGTTAGTAGAGGGATATTGCATGACATTTTGGCATTATTAAAATTGCATGGAGAAGAAATTTCTGCATATGAAAAAACGGTGGTACTTCAATTTGATGAAATCAAAATAAATTCAATTTTAGAATACGATACCGCTAATGATGAAATAATTGGCCCGCATATGCAGGTAGTAATGGCAAGAGGATTATTTTCTAATTGGAAACAACCAATTTTTATTGATTTTGACAAGAAAATGACCAAAGACATCTTGTTAAATGTGATAAAAGAATTGCATTTCGTTTCGTATAATGTGGTAGCATATGTTACTGATTGTGGAGGAGGTAATGTTGGATTGTGGAAAGAACTAGGAGTTGATATGGAAAATTCTAATTTTTTGCATCCAGATACGAAGAAAAATGTATATATGTTTGCAGATGCTCCACATTTACTAAAACTGATAAGCAACTGGTTGTTAGATAAAGGTTTCAGTTTAGATGAAAATACTGAAATTACCAAAGCGCCTCTTATAAATCTTGTTAAAATTACAAATACAGAGGTTAATTCATGCTGGAAAGTTTCAGAAAAACACATAAATCGTGAAAGATCTCAACGACAGAATGTTGCATTAGCTGCACAACTACTAAGCAACATTGTTGGAACTGCTTTATTGCAATATAAAAATAAGCCAGGCATGAATACAATAGAGTGTGAACATTTAGGAAATTTTATTTTGGATATAAATCAATGGTTTGATATTTTTAATAGTTACTGTGAAGAGGGTACAGTTCCATCGAAAAATGGATATGGCAGAGCATTGAAAATACAAGAAGAACATCTTAATAAAATAAAAACGACTATTACTAATATGCGACCAATAGGTAAAAAAGCAATGCAGATCTTCCAAAAAGGCATGCTCATGTCTATTGAATCCCTTAAAATGCTTTTTAGAGATATGAAAACTGAATTAAAATTTCTTATATTTGTACTCACTCAAAATTTTTTCTTTCAAATCGGAAGCAGAGGACCAAATGAACATCCAAGTCCTTTAATTGCTTTACAGAGGATAATACTGATAATTTTAGGAAAAAATCCTGGTGTTTTAGAGGCTCAAATAAATACAAAAAGTGAAATAGAAGAAGAGTACATTATTGCACAGGTCATGAATAAGACAAATATACCAGTTTGTGGTGAAAATATGGGACAAGTACAAATGATAAAGCCTGATGAATCTGGTAGTAGTACATCGTTTGATTCATCAAATTCATCTTCAACTATATGCAGTGGGGATTCAACGGATTCTAGTATGGGAAACTTATGGAGATGCTATTGAATACATAGCAGGCTATTTGGCTTTTGTATTTAAAAAAGAATACAACAACTTAGGCGATCACACATATAAATTCAAAAGTGATCATAATTTCTCGCTTCCTTCATGGGTACAGAAATTGTCTTTTGGTGGACTTATAAAGCCAACTCAAGAGTGGCTATCAATAGTTCAAAAATGGGATAAGTACTTCAGGAAGCATCATGCAGATGGTTCCTTACGAGGTGGCCCTGGAGTAGTTCAAAAGTTGCCAACTAAAATTGCAAAAGTGGAGAAAAACTATTCTTTTAAAATTATAAAACATTTTTGCAAATTACGAACAATAATTAGGCAATTACAGAAATCTTAAACATGAAGAATTAAAAAAGCAAAATAATTTGACTAAAAGAAAGGCCAAAGAAGATCTTGATGACTCCGAAAGAAAAAAAATCAAGAAAATTATTGAAAATTATAAAATAGGTCAAAAATTAGTTTTTAAAATCCTTTAATCTTCTACACTTTAAATGTTTGTTTCTCTAAATATTACCTATGTAGTCACTTTTTGGTTTACAGATATAAGATTTGTGTCATTTTCTTTGAATTTAATGAATTAAAATAATAAAAAAGTGATACAAAATATTATTTTTTGTTGTAAAGGCATGTATTTTATTAAAATATTTCATTTTTGAATTTTAAATAATGATTTATTTGTTTTTTTTTTACCTACCTAATTGTCTGGAAAAGAAGTTTCTTGTAATAATTTAAAATCGTATTTTTCAATATAAAAGTGTTTGTATTTATACGTAAGTTTGAGGTTATGAGTAGTATTTCATGACGTCAATTGACAGTCTGACATATCTGACATATTAAGTGGCCCATCCTTCTCTTTAGTTTATCATCCTTGGGATCTATCTGCTTACAGATGGAACTATGTTATCGAAATTGTCGCAACAAATTAAAGTTAGTCGATAATAATAATAACCTAAAATTTTAGCGCGATATTTTGTGCAATTTGTGAAGTTTTTGAATGTAAATTTAAAGCCTTTATTTACTAAAAGTTTATTAGTTATAGAATCATGTCGAGGATCTAAAATATTGAAATTGGGTAAATTAACTCAAACTGTTTTTAATTTTTAAATAAAAATGCCTACTTTATAGCAATGGATTTAACATGAATTGATAAAGATAAAGCCGATTCTGAATCGAAAAATGTTTATTTAGAATCCCCTGTTATAAGCGAGAAAATGTTAGGCCTAAATTATTCAGAAGTAAGCTAATTTACTAAAGCATATCTATAAATAAAAAAGTTTAAACCCGATTAACTTTACAATAATTTTTCAGAGCGTTTTTAAAGCATATATGTATGTTTTTTAGCGTTATTCAAACAATTTCGAGGAAAATGTCGATTTCTTGACGATTTGGGAAATGTCATATATGATATTGATGACCTTAATGTGACAATACAAAACAAATTGAAGGAGCAACATCGTGTATTACTTGAAACACAGAAGAATGTTGACGACCAAGCATAGGAAAAAAATCAAACAAAAACTACGAAAACGTAAAGTTAATAGAGCTGAATGGAAATGTAGTGAACAAAAAAAAAAGTGTCAGTCAGGTGAAGAATATGTAAATGTGAGAGGAAAATTCACGGGTGCATGGGCAAAGGGGCATAAGTCATTTTTTTTATTTCGGTCGTTAATGCATTTATCACATTACAAAATAAACGCGCTTGCTTGGGATAAATGTCACAACTCAAAAGTGTATTATAACAAGGCAATGGATATGTGATAAAAGGTTTATCTTGAAAACAGACATTCCTGCTTGTGTAAATAGACTTAATTAAGTATTGTGAAAAATGAATTATGTCCGACACATTTTCATATATATGTGAAAATAAAAATATTTGCATTGCTAAAATGGATCAAGTCAGACTTGATCCATTTTTCACCATTTCAATTTATTGTTTTCTTGTGCATATAAAATCGTGTCAGGACTTGATACGTTTTACACATAAGAAGTATATTGCAGCTGTTTGACTTAAACCATTTTACAAAAAAGTCATATTTGCAAAATGACATAAGCAGAGGTTTGGCAACATATTATTGTTTGTGACGGTTAAGAAGTTTATTGTTCTCGGTTTTATAGACAAACTGACTGAAAGATGAGCAGCATGGCACAAAAAATTTTGAATTTATTGAAAGAAAGCAATAATGAAACTCATGCTCATGAAGGTAAGTTATAAAATTATTAATTTAATCGGAAAGTTGAAACAAACTGATAACTGAACATAACCTAACTTGTTTCGTCCTGGGCCGCGTTCGGCTTCCAGTGTGGAAACGTTGCCAAGTTTATATTTTTTCCAACAAAATAGGAAAATGTATTTCAAAGTACATGTTCAAACTCTTACATAAGATAAACAACAGTTCAGCTATTATAAAGATATTCTTTGATGATTGCAGATAAGGACGATCAGAGCAGCGAAGCTCCTTCACTGGACGAAGCTGTCCGAAAGGAACTTTTCATTGACTCTGATGATTCTATTAGGGATCCAGATTTTGAACAACCCGGGACTTCATCTGGTAGTGAAAGCGATGAAGATGTAACAATTCAAATAATACAACGACAGACAACAGCAAATAGAGAGGAGCAAGTTATTGCCAACAATACCAATAGAGCCAGACATAATAGGGGCAAAAAGCGTGCAATAAAAGGAGATACGAGGGCTGTACGACAGCACAGAAAGGAGAAACGTAATACTGCCCAGGAATATGTAAATTCCAAAGGAAAAAAAAGAGCTGCACGACCATGCAGCCTTTTAAACCTTGCAGAAATAAGTGTAGAGAAAATGTTTCTGAAGAAGAAAGACATAAACTCTTTACTGAATATTGGGCTGTGCGGGATTATAATAGAAGAACAGCTTATGTTGCTGGTTTACTTGAAATTAAGAAAAACGCAGTATCAAGACCCCGTACGTCTGTCCCAAATAAAAGTAAACACCGCATGAATACAGTCTTGTATCATTTGCAAGAAAATGGTAGGAACGTCTCTGTTTGTAAATTTTGTTTCCTTGAAACCTTTAATGAAACTCAAAGATTTATAAGAACTGTAATTGAGAAAAAGTTGTCAAATCAGTCTGGAATTGAGGACCTTGGAGCAAGAAGGGGATAAGTCACTATTTTTTCAAAAGAGAGATACGTGTCGCATGCGCTTCTTTAAAAGATTATCGTTTGTTTGGTGCAAGAAAGGTACTAGTGCGTCCATAGACAACAAAGTTATTAACGGTTTTGACTCGTCTCCGACACAAATTCTGAGCAAGAACGGGATAAGTCGCGTTGACTTATCCCGTTTTTGCACCAAACCAATGTTGTCTTGAAGTGGGCGTGTCTGATTATATTCGCCATATTTTTAGCGCGGGATTTCGCATTGTTTTGGGCTTGGTGCTTTAGTAGTGCCAGTACAAAGTAATCAGTGCATGAGTGTAGTTGTTTCCATCTTGCGACCACGTGTTTTCAATGTTGCGATCGAGTTACGATTCGGATGAATCCGAACCATTCCAAGACTCTGGCAGTGAGTACCGTGCTAGCACTTCAGAGAGTGTGACCTCTACAGCAGGCTCAGAAGTGGTAAATGAAGAAATGAATAACGAAAATCTTGAAAATAGGGGAAGAAAGAAGAAAAGAAACCCTAAAAACTGGCAAAGAAATATAAGAAAAGCTAAACGAGCAAGAGGCGAAGCTTATGTTGGAACTCGAGGGCAAGAGGTTGCAGCTAGACAGCAAGGCGCTGCTTGTGGCTGCAAAAAAGCGTGCTTTGATAAGCTATCCGCTGATAAACGCTTGGAAATTATGGTTTCGTTTAATGCATTGGGTGACCAAGAGAAACAAGATTCCTATTTGGCCCATCTAATTTCTGTTGACCATAAAAAGAAAACGCGACCACGTAAATTAAATCCCAAGAACCGCACATACAGTTTTAAGTACAAGGTAAGTTTACATCAATTATTCGTGTTTTTTGTACCTAGTTTTGATAAATTTGTAGGTGAAGTTGCCTGGTTTTGAAATAATCGTGTGTAAGACAGCATTGGTTCGATTACATGGAATTGGAAAAAAAAGATTGGAACGCATATGCAATCACATGTCGACAAACATAACTCCCCCGGCTGATAAACGGGGAAAGCATTTTACCAGACCAAATATGATTCCTGAAAATATCATTCAACAATTAAATGATCACATCAGATCGTTCCCAAAAAGGGAGTCGCATTACGGTCGCGGAAAAAGCTGTACATTTAAAGAAATCCGAATGGTTTTATAAAGAATTAAAACAGCGTACAGAAGAAGCCGAGAAATATAAAGAAATTGAGGTCCTTTGCTTCAATTTTCAACAGAATTTGCCACTACCAAAAGTGCCATCTACAGATGCATTCTACCTACGACAGCTGTGGATGTACAATTTTTGTATTCATTCCGCTAAAAACAAGTCGTCTCATTTTTACATGTATGACGAAACAACTGCAAAAAAGGGAGCCAATGAAGTTATCAGTTTCTTACATCATTATATTACGAACAAATTAAGCCCAGGTGTTAAGAAGCTTTACTTATTTTCGTACAACTGCTGTGCGCAAAATAAAAACAATGTAATGGTCCGTTACTTGGCAGGGTTGTGCAAAATACAAAAATTTGAATCCATAATACATAGATTTCCTGAACCTGGTCACAGCTTTTTACCTTGTGACAGATCATTCAGTATTATTGAAAAGAAAAAAAGGTTGGTGGAACGTATTTACTTACCCCGGGAATATCACAAATTAGTTGAAAAAGCTTCGTTAAAATTTAAAGTTATAACTGTTACGCAAAATATGATTTATGATTTTTGTTCTCTTGTAAAGGAATTTTCTCTCCAAGTGCCAAAAAATCCTAATAAGGAAAAATTTGCTGTTTCTACTTACCGAGTTTTTTTGTATTCAGAACTTTCAGATGAAATTCAATGTAGCAAGACAGCTTGTGGATCTTTACTATTTCAGAAATTTACTTTACTGAATTTTAAAAAATCTGTCCAATTTACAGAAAAAAATACTTGCTATAATGCCTTGTTGCCCATTAAGGATGCAAAATTTAAAAATGTTATGCAACTGGCCACAGAGTACGTACCAAAATCTGATTTGGCATTTTATTACAATTTAAAAAGTACTAATGATCCCCTCGAAAATAATAATAATTCAGGCACAGATGGAGACGAAGATACCTTCTCTGAATAATAATGTAATTTAATATGTAATATCTTGACTATTCGTAAATTTTTATTTTTGTGACTTATCCCGTTCTTGTACCAAATAAACAAAATTCAAAATTTTTGCAGCTTTTCTTTCAGTAAATTACCCCAAGTCTCATTTTTTTGCCAAAACTATTTGTTTTTAATAATATAAAGTAATAATATTAATAATAAAAATAATAAAATAAAAATCGTTTTTTGAACATTTTTGCAATAGTGACTCATCCCCTTTTTGCATCAAGGTCCTCAATTACACTACCTGATGGCAGAGGAAAAAGTGCACCACCAAACAAACGAACCTTGCAAGATATAGAAAACGTTCGGCAACATATACTTTCAGTGCCTACGTATGAAAGTCACTACACACGCAGAGATTCTACAAAAAAGTATTTGCCGCCATACGTCACACTGACCGATCTCTATAACGAGTACAAACAGAAATATCCTGTGAAACCCGTGTTAAGATTTGTATACGAACGTGAGTTCCACCAATTAAATATCAGCATAAAGCATCCTCATAAAGACACCTGTGAAAAGTGTGATAAGTTATCAATGCAAATTAATCTTGATCCAACTAATACTATACTAAAAGATGATCTTGCGCAACATCATAAACTTGCAGACTTAGCTTATCTGTCTAAAAAGAAAGACAAAACTGTTACCAAAGATGATCCAGAAAGGAAGACTATAACCTTTGACTTGCAACAGTGTTTACCGACACCTGTAGTGCAATCATCACTTGCCTTTTACAAAAGGCAGCCATGGACTTTTAACCTGACAATACACGACTGTGATACCAGTCAAGCCACATGTTTTGTGTGGCACGAAGCTATAGCAAAAAGAGGTAGTGACGATATCGGTTCTTGTTTATATAAGTACCTACAGGAAGATCTGGATGTCCATGTTGAACATATATACTGTATTCAGATACGTGTGGCGGTCAAAACAAAAACACGAATATTGCTGAAATGTGTATGAAAGCCTTACAAGATTCCACTCATTTGGAAACTATAGATCACAGGTCCTGATTCCAGGTCACACTCATATGGAGTGTGACAGTAACCATAGTTTAACAGAAAAAAAGAAAAAAACATTTAATGGACCAATAGAGCATCCACATGATTGGGCGCAACTAATGCGTCAGGTTGGGAAAAAAAGCCCTTTTCTGTAAAAGAATTGACACAAGATGACTTTTACGACTTCTCTCACTTATATAAAGGACCACTAGTAAACCCTTCTGGTTATCCCAACTGGCATCACGTACGTTGGTTAAGATATGAAAAGCGATCTTTTGGATTTCTAAAGTGAATTCCATTCAGTAAGTTTTAGAAGAAGAGTAAAAATACCTCTGATATTAAATCCATCTCTTAGTTATGCTGGACCAGTTCTCATATCTAAAGAGAAAAAACGTTCAGTTTTTGTGCTTTTCCAAATGTAAAAATCAATTTTTAAAAACCCTTTTACAGATTGTTATTTTGAGCTTAGAAGAGCCTTGATTTATTTGTAAATACTACAACAGTTTGGATACTTAATGGAAGTTCATATGCTCAATGTGAGGCAAATCTATTGACTGGTTCGTGAATTAACGTATCAATAAAGAAATGACCAAAATTAATAAAACACGAAGAGAGTTAGACCCATTAAATATAGTTTTTTTTTTAATTGCCTAACTGTCCTCTGTTTGTCCTCTGTATATAAAATTTTTCAGATTGCAGGATTATTTCACTTTCAATTTTTATAATATTAAAAAAAATATATATTTTTTTAAATATGTAAATGTGTGACCTACCTTAAATCTTAGTGTTCCGATAGGTGGTTGAGCATAAGGAATATCTTGAAAAGCATGAAATTGTGTATTTTTGTGTGTAGTTAATAATTTCCCAAGAACGATACCATCTGTTATTTTTACTTGCTTGAAAGCACCTATCTAAAATATAAAAAAAATAATTATAATTAGATATGCTACCTCAGGAAATAACTTTATAAAAAATGTCATATTTCTACAAAATTATTAAAATTATCGAATATTGTCTAGTACAAAAGAAAACCAACGTAGAAGTGTCTTGACATGGTACTCGTAATAAACAACAAACTCAAATTCTCTTCACATTTTCGTTCAAAACAGCAATAAACCTAAAAATTCATTGTTTTAACATGTTTATGTGCAACTTTCATTACAATGGATGTATTAAATGTGTATCTAAGGAACAATACAATCCATATTTCACTTGTGATACTATATTCATATTACACAGTATTTTTGTCTATTGTACCCAGCTAAAATTAAAAATCATTAGAGTGGTTTTTTTGTTTTTGATACCCTGTTAGCTGTGGTTTACAGCGTTTTTGAGTTGACGTCACTGTTTAGGCAAATACAAAAATAGATATATTCAAAAATGACAAATTACACTTGTGGTTAATGTGAGAGTGAAGAGCTGAAGACGTTATGTTTTCTTGTTGCCTGTTTTTCAAAATCCTCAAATTATTAACAAATTAAAATATTCGTCGAGTGTGTTTTGTTTTGTGATAACCTCAGACATGGAGCAAGCAATGTTATTAAATTATACAAATAATTATTTAAATGAATTACAAGAAATAATTATTATTTTAAATTACTGGAATAGAAGCAACTCCGATGAAGAAAATGAATTTATTACCAATACTGTTCTCATAACCTGCAATTTAGAGCACTTACGAATGCCTGGATATTTTAATTGAATCAATAATCATTTA